CAAGTGTTTTGAATTCTGTATCCCCCATTTTCTGGATGTCTTCCTCAGTGAACTTTGAGGAACTTTTGAGGATTTTACTTATTGCAGTAGGCACTTTGTTTGCAGTCAGTTTGCCACTCCCTCCAACGAAATCCAGATGTTGGTCTTATTTTAGATTTCCACCATGGTCTCTGTAGCCCCAACTGCTGGCTCACCAGTCTCCACCTCCTGTGATACCTACCATGCTGAGGCTGCACCGTTGTCTGTACAACCTTTCTCCCACTTCCAGTTGGAGCAAGTCCCAGGATTAGGGAGACACCAGATGTCCTATATAGCTAGGTTGTTGTTGGTGGTGTTCTAGCCGGAACCTGTTGGCTGTTAGATCTGAGGGCCACACGGATCTGTTTTGACCCGTACAGTGCCACAGTCAATATTATTGTCTTGTGGGATGAGTGCATTCCAATGACCTCAGTGAGTTCTCACCAAGCTCAGCAAATGTGCAGCTCACTGTTTTCTTCTGCAGTCTTAAATTCTTTGCCACACCGTAAGAAATGGCACCTGATGTGCCACTACTAGAGTTCTTGATCTGCTGGCTGTCAGGTCTGAGGGCTACCCAGACCTGTCTTGGGTGGAACCTGTAGGTTGTCACTCTGTTGCAGTTCACTGAGCCAGAAATGAGTTCACTCCCAGCTCAGTGTATGCTCAGTCCTGCCCCATAGCCTTTGCCTTCGTAACAAAAATGGCACCTAATTCAGCTGTAGGAGGCAGACTGGGCTATGAAATCCACCCTGATTCCGCACCGCCCGTCTAGGACTGCTGCTCTATCTTTGCTTTTGGTCAAATCAAACAGACAAGCAGGTTGGGCAGTTTTTGTCTAGGTTCACCTCTGGAACTCCCTTCCCACCTGTTGCTAGTGTGGTTCCGGCTGCTGGTGGAGTTCAGAACACAATTTGCTGAATGCCACTGGGGTATCAGTCACTGCAACACCACACCGTTGTGTCTGCTGCTTTCCTGTGTCTGTCAGTGTCTGGGTACCCCTCTGCTGTTGTTCTGTCCTATTTCCTGAAATATGCCCTCTCTGCTTCATACTGGCTAATATTTCTCCTTTTGTTTAAATGTGTCCTTACCCTTTCTGCTATCTTGATTCTCCCCTTATCCCTAAATCTTGTGCCTGGTGGAGATTGTAGGGATGAAGGCAGAAAGGTAGACATTTTTTATCTAAGAGCAGAAACAAAGGGAATTTATCACTAGCCAATCTACTCTAAAAGAACAGCAAGGGAAGTTCTCTAAACTAAAAGGAAATGGGAAAAGAATGGAATATGAAGGTGGAGGAATGCTCCAGGCCAAAAAATATGTGGGTAGGGGATAAATACAACAAGCTGTTGCTCTATTTCTGAGTTTTCTAAATTTTGCTAAAGCAAAAGTTAGAATCCCGGTCTAAGTGTGTTTAGAAAAAATATTTAAGACAAGTATAAATGGAGTGATGTAAAGGGAGAAAAGTTTCCTATATTTCACTGGAACTGATAAAATGATGACACCAATATACCAGTATAAATTATGTCTGTGTCATAACACCTGGAAAAAATTAGACAAAGGGACACATAAAAAACAGGTAAACCAAAATGAAATGGTAAAAAGTATTCGTGCAGAAGCGGGCATTTGATCCCATGGTTAAGAACTGGTTTGAACACCCACGTCTCATGGAAGAATGCCTGTGCTCCATGAATGTTGCCTCTGGCTCCTGACTCCAGCATCCTGTTCCTGCAGGCCCGGGGCTGCAGCAGTGATGGTTCAGGTTCCTGCCACTCACATGGAAGTCCTGGGTTGTGTTTCTAGCTCCTAGCTTTGTCTTTGGCAGAACCTTGGCTATTGTGGGGAGTGAACCAGTAGATTAAGTCTTCTTTTCTCTTCATCTCTCTTTTTCTGTGTATATATCTGTCACTGAAATTGGAAAAAAAAGAAAGAAAAAAGAAAAGGGCATGGCAAGGTAGTCCCTTGCATGCACTGGGATCCCATATGGACACCCCACTTCCCATCCAGCTCCCTGCGTGTAGCCTAGGAAAGTCAAGAGGATGACCCAAAACCTTTGGACCCTGCAGCTGCATGGACACCTGGAAGAAGCTCCTGGCTTCACATCGGTTCAATTCCGGCTGTTGCACGGATACTTGGGGAGAGAACTAATGGATGGAAAATCTTTCTCTCTGTTTTTCCTTCCGTTTGTAAATCTACTTTTCCAAGAAGTAAATATTTAATATTCATGCTGCCAATGTAGAGGAAAGTAATTCAGCGATGAAAAATGGAGAGAACAAACACAAAAAGGACAATGAATTTAAGCCCTTATAATATTGACATTTACAGTAAATGCAAATGGTTTAAGTGAATCAGTTTAAAGATAGATTGACAAATTAGATGAAAAGATGTAATCTAACATACTGTCTTTAAGAAGCTCACTTCAAACAGTACAAGTAAGCAGAAAGTGAAAGGGTGGAAAAGGTAAAAGAAAAATCATGGAAGCATTGTTGGAAAGATTGGTTAGATAACAGGGACTTCAGAGCAAATAAAATGATTGAGGACACAGAGACATTTGATAATCATGCAAATGTCAGTACACTCAGAAGCCAGAGCAGTGCGAAGTGCGTCTGCACCAAACTGCAGAACTGGAAGATATGTGCAGCAAACATGTTATGGACTAAAGGGTGAAATAGAAAAAGCCACAGTTTTATTTGGAGATGTCAACACTCTATCAGTAATTGATAGTAACCAGACAGAAAACCAGCAAGCTTATAGAAAACTCCCTCATACCATCAACCAGAAGGGGCTTATCATTTATAAACCAATGCCAGCAGAATATACACTTAAAGTATTCATGGAATCACATCCAGAGTCATGAAACAAACCTCACCAAGTTTATTTGAAGGCAGAGAGACCTAGTGAGACAGACAGAGCTCTCACATCCATGGATTCACTCCTCTGATGCCTGCAACTGGGACTGGGTTAGGGCAAAGCCAAGAGCCAGAGATTCCATCCTATTCTCCCACGTGGGTGATAGGAACCCAGTAACTGGAGTCCTTACTGCTGCTGACTAGGGTGTGCAGTAATAGGAGACTAGAATCGGAATGGGGCACAAACCCAGGCACTCTGACATGGAATGTGGGCACTCTGACACAATTGTCTTCACTGCTAGGCTACATATCTGCCCCTTGATACAGTTGTATTTTCAGAGTAGGTTAAAAAACAAGAGCTCGCCCATGAGATCTTTACACAGCCATGTGGGGTTCTTTGATTTGCTTCTTGCTTCATTTCTATTAGGGCCATTGGTGAGAACCCAGTGAAACTTATATTTTTAGCCTTTTCCAAACTTTCTAGCTATGTTTCCTCATCTGCAAAAAGATTTCCATAAACTCTGAGTTCTGCTTTTGTAAAGTCTGTAGGACATGTCTAACCCAGCCAGTATGTGATGCTCTTCTTTAAAAGTTCTTGCAATGGTTTAGGCCTGTTCCATCAACCTTCCCTCTCTCCTCCAGAATATGAGCCAATTGAGAAACAGTAAATTCACCCTTTAGAGACTTCCTCGGGTGTGAGGAGGATCCAGGAACCTCTGGAGCCCTTCCCCTTGGACAGGAGGGGTTGTGCCCTCTGGCTGGCCCTGCACAATGCTGTTTCTGCCTGAGTTTCTGGATTTCATTTTGCCACCTGCTGGGCTGGAAATCAAAGCTGGATAGTCAACTGACTTGGGCATTGACTCTTATTTCTAGTCTCTGATGACTTTCTGGTATTTCTTCGACCTTAGCACAAATGTCCATGCTTGGGCCTACGTGCTGGTCAAACAACGATCCCAGGAATCTTTCTCCGGGATTCCAGTAAGCCTCCCCTTGCTCTCCGGGCAGGCCCTTTGCATGAATGCTGGCTCAAGTTACACCTGTTTCCATGACAACTGTACTTGAGTCTGCACTAAAGCACTGAACCTCTCAACTGTTAGCATCTGCAACCCGAGAGAGTTTGCCTGCCCTATGCCAACCACCTCAGCAAAATTGCATCACACAGTGAATCTCAATATATTCATCACTTTAGCTAGTTCTGTTGCTTTGACAAACAACTCCAACACCGCAATCTAAGCCTTTACCCTATGAAGGGTCTTCAAGTAATTCACGGGAAAATGCGTATTGTGAAAAAACTGAGCACAGATTTCAAGTGTTTTTACATCAGAATAAGCATTTTAGATCTGTTTTTCCATGAACTTTGTGAAGTATCCTCATCATTCTGAGTATATCTACTACCCTCTAAAGTATACAATGTCTGGCAAAGCAAAAAATTTTGTAGAATTTGAGCATTCCTCTTAGTAGGACTTTACATGAAATTTAGTTTTATATAAAGTTTTAACTTAGGTTTGGTTGCGCCTTGAATAGCATTGTTTCCTATTACCAAAACTTTAATGAAAGCTTCCATCTTAGCCAACAGATTATCTTTCCACAGTCCTGTTATTTACATTTTCTCTGATTTCAGATATTAAGGAGTAGGTATCTTTACTTCAAAAACAGCTAATTTATATATTAAAAAAACAGGTAACCAAGTAAAGAGTTTGCTAGTATTTATAAACTAATAAAAACTCAGAGAACTGTTTGTACTTTGAAATCTCTGATGTCACATGTGCTTGGGGTGGGGAGAATCAAGTACTGATGACCATGATGTACTAAGACCAAGTGGATGGGTTATGGCTTGTAAGTAAGCAGAAACGAAATTATTAAGGTTGTGTTAATGTGGTATTATGGATAAAACCTTCATTGATCTTTTCAAGAAAAGATACACAACTTAGAATGTATTTGATTTTGTTTTATAACTGTTTAAGGTCTTAGATTCATAAGTACTCAACATTGTTAGCTTCACCTTTTAAATTACACTTGGTTGGATTAGCGTTAAATTTCTTTTTTTATTCAGTAGCCCAGGCATACGTATTGGTCCTACATTGCTCACAACAGATAACTTACAAAGAATGATACATGTGTGAGGGAGCCAGAAAGACACTCACTGTCTTCTAAGTTAAAGTCTCATAGAACTGGGTGAGTGGCTTCGTGGGCCACCGCTGTTAATAGAGGCTGGTCTTCTTCATGATCTTAAGGAACTCCTCTTCATTCACTTCGCCGTCTCCATCCCGATCTGCTTCGTCGATCATTTCCTGCAGCTCCTCATCCGTGAGGTTCTCCCCCAGCTCGTTGGCCACACGCTTGAGGTTTTTGAAAGATATCTTCCCTGTCTCGTCGTCATCAAAGAGCCGGAATGCCTTCAGGATTTCTTCTTTGGTGTCCTTCTCGGCCATCTTCTGAGTCATCACGGCCAGGAAGTCATTGAAGCTGATCTTTCCCGTGCCCTCCTTGTCTACCTCTGAGATCATTTTCTTGATCTCTTCTTTCTTGGGTTCGAAGCCCAACGCCCTCATGGCCACCTTCAGCTCCTTCACGTCGATGGTGCCGCTTCCGTCAGCATCGAAGAGGTCAAACGCCTCTCGAACTTCTTGCTTCTGCTCTTCAGTGAGTTCGGGCTTCGGACACGACTTTTTCCTCTGGCTGGTGGAGGCAGGGTTTGGCTTCTTGAAGCTGGCCGCCATTCTCATCTGGCAGTTGATAAGCTAACCCCGCCCACAATGTTGATACCACTGCGCCTGCGCGCGAGTGTCCCTACCTGGAGGGCGCAGGACTGCCCATCATCGCTCATCCCCAAAGACAAAGTTTTCTAGGGCACCAGCCCAGCGAGGCCCGTCTGGCTACGACCACTGCACCTGCAAGATATTATTTACATTGCCATCCACAGTTCCCTGGGCTTATTAACCAATTTCCACGAGTTGATAACTGAGCTGGCCAGAACTGCCCAGAGCACAGTTCTTTTCCGTAATTCGTGGATGTTTGCTGGCCGCCATGGGCTATTGGTCAGCATCCCTCAGACTGGTAAGGTTCATCTAGAAGGACTTCCTCTTCTCTCCTCTTCCATACTGATCTTAAAAACATTCTCGGTTTGAGATTACTGAAGGATAAATTTAGGATAATGAAGGTTAAGTGTGTTCACTTAGCATTGAATATGGGAAAGGAGAAGAGAGAATATTAAAAGTCATACCATGTGTTCAACTTGACATAAATGGAAAACAGATAAAATGGAAAAAGTTATGTATACAATTTGTAGAAGTTTGTCTCCTGACATTACACTCAACAATAATAAAACGTTTGGCATGTTCTCAAATATGTAATGTAATATCCAAATGTATGATTTAGTGTTTCAATTTGACACACTCAGTATAATGGCACTTGAATAATGGCCCTAATTTCATTTAGTAGGCTTTGATTTGGCAGGAGAGGAGTTGAAATATTGCATTTTGATTTTTTAAAAAGACTTATTTTTATTGGAAAGTCAGATATACAGAGAGGAGGAGAGACGGAGAGGAAGATCTTCTGTCCGTTAATTCACTCCCCAAGTGGCTGCAACAGCCAGAGCTGAGCTGATCCGGAGCCGGGAGCCTCTTCCAGGTCTTCCATGTGGGTGCAGGGTCCCAAGGTTTTGGGCTGTCTTTGACTGCTTTCCTAGGCCACAGCAGGGAGTTTAAAGCGGGGCTGCCAGGATTAGAGCCTGTGTGCATATGGGATCCCAGGTGTGCAAGGCAATGACTTTAGCCACTAGGCTATGGTGTCGGGTCCTGATTTATTTATTTATTTATTTTTAACTCCAGCAGTATTTTGCTCTCACAGTTGATCACCCAATCAGGGCTGCACTCAGCCATACCCTCTGGGCTTCATCTCTTTACAGTAGATAGAGAGGGAGGTGAGGTGAGGCAGAGCGTATCAGGACCCAGAACTGCCTCCTGGAAACCAAAGAAAGCAACAGAAAAATGGAAACTTTTCATGTGAAGAGAAAGAACAGCTACTAAATAAGTCCATAGAGGAATTGCCTTCAGAATAGTTTCATATCTTTACACAGTTTTTTTTTTTTTAAGATTTATTTATTTTACTTGAAAGAGAGAGCCAGGCCTGGGGCCGGGGGATGGAGTGAAGGTGGGAATATATATAGAGAGAGGTAGCGTTCAATCTTCCAACCACTGGTTCATTCCCCAAATGGCTACAACAGCCAAAGCTGGGCTAGTCCAAAACTGAAGCTGGGAGCCAGGAGCTTCTTCCGGATTTGGCATGTGGGTACAGGGGCCCAAGGCCTTGGCTGTTGTCTGCTGCTTTCCCAGGCCATTAGCAGGGAACTAGATCAGAAGGGGAGTGAATGTAACTAGAACTGGTGTCCATATAGTATGCCAGCACTGCAGGTGGAAGATTAGTGTGCTATTCTATCATTCTAACCCCGAAACAGTTTTTTGTTGTTTAAAGCTGATTGTTTTGGGTGGGGAAGTCTTTGTCCAAAAAATCCGAATCTATCACTACTCAATATGTTACAGTAAAGGAAACTTGGTAGAGTTCTTGTGAACTCAACACCTAGAGTGGTGCTTGATACCACGTAATAGGTGGATAACAAATATTTGTAGAATACACGTATGGCCAGTGTTGATCCTAAAATACCTTCTGAGTCGTTAACACAAAGCAAACCAAAAATGATGCTGGCAGTTTCTTACTTTTTTTTTTTTGTGAGCAAATGTTGTTTGCATGGCATGTGCTATCACTGTTTGCTTCTCTCTAAAAGTTCCTGTGTTGGAGGTGTGGTCCCCAAGGCAGTGGTGTGGGAATATGGTGGGAGCCTTAAGAAGTGGGGCCTAGTGGGAGGTCCTTTGTCATTTAAAGTGCTGTCCCTAGGAGGGCATGAAGGTAGATCTCACGTGTCCCCTCAGCAGTTATCCACAGCCTAAACTTGGCCTCATGCAGCTCTCCTGCTTCCGTCTCATGACATGGTCATGGTTCCTGCGTGTACTCCCACCAATGCTGTTGGTATGATATGACGCAGCCAAGAAGGCTCTCACCAAACTTGGTTGATGCAGGTACCATTGCCTTAAGCCCCAACACTGTGAGCTAACAGAAATCTCTTTATAGGATTAACCAATTTCAGCTATTGCATTATAACAATGAAAAAGCAAGCATGTTTAATTAGTCCTGTCTGATTAAACCTGCCCCAATTGCTATGTGATTTAGTGGGACAGAGGGTCTGGACACAGAGTTTCTAAAGGCAAAAAGATTAATAATAAGAAAAATGTACCTCGTCCCTTCCCTCACCTCCCCTGCCTTTCGTCACTGGTTGCAGACAGTGTCAGCTTGAAGTAGACTCAGTAGTGATAGCTACTGATCTCGCAACCTTGCTTATCCCCCTGCCTTGCTTTCTTCCATGTGCAAAAGCTCAAGATCTCAGTCTGAGTCTCTGGCTGATGGTGGCTGTGACTTTGAAAAATCGACTTAAGCAGACCCAGGGGAAGCATCTGCAAAGGCGTGATACCAGTGACGCTTCCTGGTGTATTTTCAGAGACAGAATATCCACAGCAGTTCCGGGGCTGGGGCCTCCACGGGGGCTTTACTGAGCTGGGGAATTCTTAGCTGAATCTGGAGTCTTCCCAGACGCTGTGTGCTTGCTTTGACACCCACCCCTCTGCCCATTTTCAAGCCAAGCTATGATGTGTTGGGAGAAACTCAAGGAGAGAAGCTGCCTTATATAGAGCTACATTTGGGCCAAGTTGAGCTCAAAGCAAACCAGTTGTCATAGTTTCCAGATGTGTGCGATCAACAGTCACAACATAAGGCCACCAAGAGCTCCTTTCGTTGAAAACCCAGCTCTTGGTGGAGATTTACTTGATGTTCATAACTGAAACTCTGACTTAAAAGGACAGGAGACTTATGGTGTGCCTGGCACTGTGCTTGCCCCCCTGTTTGCATTTTCTTTTTCATCCTTGCAACTGTTTCTGACTTTGCCAATTGGGAGGGAAACATATGAAGCACAAGCGAGCTAACCAATCAGTCAGGGTTGGCTCTTGCATTTAAACCTTGGCCTGTGTAAGCCCAGTGTTGTGGCGTTGTTTATCACTCTGATCTTGGATCGCCCCTCTAGGTTCCTGCTTTCTCAGGAGAGTTGCTAAATAGCAAAACCCTGCACTGACCTGATTGATTCCAAGTCTCCCAGGTTCAGAACAGCGAGTGGCTCATGTCCAGGTTCTTGATTTCGCCATGAGAAGGAATTCAAGAGTGATTTGGAGAGTTGCAAACAGTGTGCAGCAAGAATTTTATTGAAAAAATGAAAGCAGAGACTCCTGCATCGGTGCAAGCTTTTGGAGGGGAGCTGGCCCTGTATCTGGGCTGTGATTAATGTTATATGCACTATTTCATGAAAGGAGAAATACATTCTCTTAAAGGGGAAGAATATTCCTGGTTTTTCTGGAAAGGGCATGAAATTGCCCAGAATCCAGCTGTCAACCCTTTTTTTTTTTAATGGTTCAGTGTTTCTTGTCATGGGGCTGCTATGTGTGTTGTTGAGTATGCTAATATTTTACAATGAGTGCATCTGTAGATCACTCCAGGTTAGCCTTGGCCTCCAAAACTAGTAGGACTTTTTTTTTAATAAAAGATTTATTTATTTTTATTACGAAGTCAGATATACAGAGAGGAGGAGACACAGAGAGGAAGATCTTCTGTCTGATGATTCACTCCCCAAGTGACCGCAATGGCCGGTGCTGTGCCAATCCGAAGCCAGGAGCCAGGAACTTTCTCCAGGCCTCCCACATGAGTGCAGGGTCCCAAGGCTTTGGACCATCCTCGACTGCTTTCCCAAGCCACAAGCAGGGAGCTGGATGCGAAGTGGAGCTGCTGGGATTATAACCTGTGCCCATATGGGATCCCAGTGCGTTCAAGGCGAGGACTTCAGCCATTAGGCCACTGTATCGGGCCCAAAACTAGTAGAATTTTTACTTAAAAGTAAAATCCCTTTCCTGGCCCAAGCCTTAAGATAACTAGTAGTATTTTTACTTGAAAGATAAAACTAGTAGGATTTTTACTTGAAAAGTAAAATTCCTTCCCTAGCCCAGGAAAGCAATCTGCTTATTTCTAGATCTGCAAGAAGAACTAAACCCATATCCTTCAGGCCTTGAGATAACTACCCCAGTGCTTCAGCCACTCCTTTTACCTTCTCTGTCTCAACTCTAATCAGATTTGGTCTTGCCAGCATTTCTGCATGCCAGCTGCCTGCTGTCTAATTCATAAAGCCTTCTTCCCAATACTGGCAACTTCCATCAGAGATGCAGATTTGAGTCACTTTGTCATAGAACACTTCCAACACTGGTTGGAGGAATTACTATAGAAATCCCCAAACTGGGTCCACTTGCCCAATAGGCAGCAAGCTAGTCATTGATACCAGAGTGATAGAAAAAGGCAGGCATTTATTGCAAAGTGAGGAGTTGTAAGGAGGTGGGCAACTCTCTTTTTAATTCTCAGGCTCCCTGAAGAAGTAGGGATAGAAGTTCTTACAGGTTGAAGTTGGAGTTGAGAGGTGTGTGTTTAGTTCGTACACACGTCCCTGACTGGTCTGTGATGCACATGGTCCTCCTTCATTTGGCCAATAACGTTGTGTTTTTCTCAAAATTTTGAGGATGCCAAAGCAAGCTCCAATCAGCAGTATGTAGCTCCTTCTTGCTCAGAGCCTGGAGATCCTGGAAAAGAAACCTCCTTCAGACTAGACAGAACAAGATGTGATTTC